CTCTGGTGCAAATTACTGACCTCTGTCATCATTTTAAGTGGGGGAACTTGCACAATCGGTGGCTGACTAAATACTTTTTTGCCCCACTGTAAATAAACTCACTCACTTCACTGCCATTGTCTGCAACTTTGATCCTCCTTCACAACACCACATGACTGCTGCCCCAGCTGTGACACACAGGCTTAATCTGTGCATTCTGAGTTAAAAGGTTAACTAAATATTATCTATAAAATGACACATTAGCAGTTAGTTGGAACAAGATAACACATTTATTATGCCAGCCTATTTTCATATTAAAGCTACGTCAGGAAGATTGATCTGTAATTTTAAATAACATGTGAATAACATTAAATTAGATTTTTGTACAGTTATAACCACATTACTTCGAACATAATTATTTGAATCTCCAGCACTACAAATAAAACAGTGAAACACAGTACTATATTATATGTGTATTGTAAATACGTAGAAAATAGAAATGAATACCTCAATACTGCAAATATGAACACAATAACAAATTATTATTTTATGGTAAAAGTAACACAATAATATATTACACTATAAATATAAGAATAATTTAATACAAGATTTTGAATAAGATTTTTAATATTAATGCAATCATTAATGACAACACAAGGCTTAAATCTGTGTTAGTTGTATACACATAATTTCACAATTTCAGATTTTTGAATTACATGAATCAAAACAGTGGTTTTGACACACTAGTTGAGTTTGCTTTGACACAACAACCTTTGGAGATGTTTAGAAATTTCTTTCATCTTTAGTCCATAAATAATTGGATTGAAGAGAGGATTATATGTTATTATTTGGAGTGTCATTAAAAAACGCGCAGTTTTAGAAAAATCTGATTCCAGTCTAGCTATAATCATGTCATAAGTTATCAAACAGGAATAGTTGATTAAAACAAACAGGTGTGGTAAACAGGTCTGTGCAGCTTTTTTCTTGACTTCTCCAGAGCTCCGATAAACAGTTAAAATTATCTTGGTGTATGTAAAAATTATGAATAGCATTGGAAGAAGTCCGGTATTCAATAAAACAAATGCACCATATACAGAGAGAGCTCTTGACATCACACAGTAAAGCTGGATGAGTGAATTATTACAAAAAATGCCTTTCAAAGTAAAGTTACAGAGTTTGTTATTAATATTTAGTATGATCACAACTGCAACTTGACAAGCAGGCAAAAGCCAAGCTAATACAAGCAGAAAAACGACAGTTATTTTTCTCATTTTTGTTGGATATTGCAGAGGTTTACATATAGACACATATCTGTCATAGGCCATGGCTGACAACAATAAGAACTCTGAGCAGCTTAAAGAGTAAAATATAAAAACTTGAAAGAGACAGACTTGATAAGATATGATCTGTTTTTCAGATAAGAAATCAGCCAAAAGCTTTGGATAAATATTAGTGCTGAAAAAAAGGGAATTTAATAACAAAGCTGCAATGAAAATATACATGGGCTCATGCAAGCTTTTATGAATAACAATGAGGTATATGATAGAGGTATTACAGCAAATTATTAGAATATATGCTGTGAACAGTATCATAAAATAGAGATATCTGTATTTCTGCACTTCCACATGTCCACCAAGAATTAGATATGTCATATTTAATCCAGGGTTCATTAAAAAAGTTATTTAAAAAATGTAACTAGGTAAGTATATAGTTTTATATAGTTAAACTGTATGAAAATAAATCTCCCTCAGAAGTTGCAAATAGCGAAAGTTAACAAGAACAGATCTTAATCATTCCTCTTTCCCTTCCTCTGAAATGCACTCGGTATGTATTCATCAGAATTCAGAAAGTGAAGTGTTAAACATTTTTACTATGGTTTTATGAGACTGCATAATCCTCAATGGAGCTTGTTAATAATTCATGACACTCCTAAAAACTCTGGAGGCTTCAAATCACAGGAAGGTTATTAGTATCGCAGTGGGCCCAAAACGATATACAGCGGGGATGCAAAAGTTTGTGCAACCTTGTTAATAGTCATTATTTTCCTGTATAAATCGTCGGTTGTTACAATAAAGAATGCCAGTTAAATATATCAATATCAGAAGTGAAATGAAGTTTATTGGATTTACAGAAAGTGTGCAATAATTATTTGAACAAAATCAGGCAAGTGCATAAATTTGGGCACAACAAAAAAATAAATGAAATCAATATTTAGTAGATCCTCCTTTTACAGAAATTACAGCCTCTAAATGCTTCCTGTAGGTTCCAATGGATTGTGGTTGAAGGTATTTTGGATCAGTCCTCTTTGCAAAACATCTCTAGTTCATTCAGGTTTCTTTAACTCACACCACAGATTTTCAATAATATTCAGGTCTGGGGACTGAGATGGCCATTCCAGAACGTTGTACTTGTTCCTCTGCAAGAATGCCTTAGTGGATTTTGAGCAGTGTTTCGGGTCGTTGTCTTGTTGAAAGATCCAGCCCCAGCGCAGCTTCAGATTTGTCACTGATTCCTGGACATTGGTCTCCAGAATCTGCTGAGAGGAATCCATATATCCCTCAATTTTGACAAGATTCCCAGTCCCTTCACTTGCCCCACAGCCCCACAGCATGATGGAACCACCACCATATTTTACTGTAGGTAGCAGGTGTTTTTCTTGGAATGCTGTGTTCTTTTTCCTCCATGCATAACGCCTCTTGTTATGCCCAAATAACTCAACTTTAGTTTCATCAGTCCACAGCACCCTATTCCAGAATGAAGCTGGCTTGTCCAAATGTTCTTTAGCAAACCTCAAGCGGCTCTGTTTGTGCTGTGGGCAGAGAAAACTGAGCCTGTGGTCTTCCATTTTTTCAATATGTTCCTAACTGTGGAAACAGACAGCTTAAATCTCTGAGACAGCTTCCTTTATCCTTACCCTAAACCATGATGGTGAACAATCTTTGTCTTCAGGTCATTTGAGAGTTGTTTTGAGACCCCCATGTTGCTACTCTTCAGAGAAAATTAAAAGAGGAGGGAAACTTACAATTAACCCCCTTAAATACTCACCAGTGTATGGGGTCAGGTGTCACTGAGCTCACCAAGCCAATTTGAGTTCCAATAATTAGTTCTAAAGGTTTTGAAATCAATAAAATGACAACAGTGGCCAAATTTATGCACCTGCCTGATTTTGTTTAAACAATTATTGCGCACTTTCTGTAAATCCAATAAACTTCATTTCACTTCTCATATATCACTGTGTGTTTCTCCTATATGATACATTTAACTGGCATTCTTTATTGTAACAACCGACGATTTATACAGGAAAATAATGACTATTTTCATTCGTGGCTCCTGATCGTAGGGCGATCGTGGCTCAAGAGTTGGGAGTTCGCCTTGTAATCGGAAGGTTGCCGGTTCGAGCCCCGGCTTGGACAGTCTCGGTCATTGTGTCCTTGGGCAAGACACTTCACCCGTTGCCTACTGGTGGTGGTCAGAGGGCCTGGTGGCGCCAGTGTCCGGCAGCCTCGCCTCTGTCAGTGCGCCCCAGGGTGGCTGTGGCTACAATGTAGCTTGCCATCACCAGTGTGTGAATGGGTGGATGACAGGTTGTGTAAAGCGCTTTGGGGTCCTTAGGGACTAGAAAAGCGCTATACAAATACAGGCCATTTACCATTTACCATATATGTGTCCTGATCCCGTGAGGCGGTCCCCCTGACTGGATAAACCTCCACACACCAATCAACTGGAATTTCAACGGCATCGAGCTTATGGCTGGAAGGTTCAGAAACAGTAAAGTTAAAACAGGTATAATTTGCTTTTCTCGGTGTGAATGGCCCTATTAAAGTTTTATTATCAATTGGGGGAAACAGACTGGCTAATGTGGTGCAGATGCCCTTCGAAACCGCCTCCATAGTTAATCTGAGCATACACTTAAATCCCCAACGGTCCTCCAGATAATGGGGTGCCGGTTCAGTAAACAAATGTGGTCTGGCCGCCGCACAGGCCACACAATCAGACACATCTAACCACAAATTACTATCCCTACAGCCAGTAGCCATAGAGATCAGCTGTCTAAGTTTCATTTTGGTGTAATCTACTATATTCTCTACTAATTTTCTTACTTGGGTTGAGGACAAATTTTGTGGTGAACTTCTAAAATTCACCATGACCACCCCATATGGACAATCCCCGATAACATCTACTCCTAACTAAAATAAACCAGCCTATTGGCGATCCCCGTGGGTGGCGGAGCCATCCAGTTCCCCAACGACAAAGTCACTAAATTCTGTGGGGTCCTAAAATCTCGCTGTATATAAAGCCTGTCCCCCCAGCTCCCTTGATTTTGGTGTACCCACAACCTGCGACCGGGCACATCTCCCGCTCAACCGTGTCCACCCCTGTTGACAGAAATGATTGAATGAGATTTAATAAGACCCAAATATCATGTGTCCTGTAACTTCGGCCACCATAATGTATGGCTGCACAGAGATCGAACATGGACGAAGTCATGGACCCTGCCACGTAGTCCAACTCGGCCACCGTAATAATTTAAACAGGTGTCGGTTTTATCTGATGTGCTGCGATTGGTTCGTCTCACCATGGACTGGCGTAATCTGAAGTCTGTCTCCGGGCAACTCACATGCAAGAAAAATCACAGTTACAGTAACGACAAGAATGACCCCTAAAACTCCCACTACTCTCCAATTTCCCCGCAACCCAATTTTGATTACTTCTCCAATCCCTTACATTGTACTTAGACTAGAACCTCTGTCTAAGGAGATTCATTATCTTAGAAATGACCTTTATCTTCTGGGTCGGGTGATTCTCTGCTCGTCTTCTTTCTTCAACTTCAGGAGTTGACCACCCTTCAGTTCGTTGAATAGATCAGGGGATTATTTTGCCCCGGGCGAGGATATATGTTTTTGGGGGTCTCAGCCGAGTCCCCCTTTTTTATCCAGAGCCTTTCGGACCTCCTAGGCTCTTTTGCCACCTTTCCCTCTCAACTGGACGGCATGTGAGGTCCTGGTCACCCATTCAAATGGACCCTTCCACCGCGGCTTATTCCACTTCCAATTATACACCTTCCCCCACACCCACTTCACCTCCGGCACCATCTGCTCCTGTCCTTGATCTGCATGGTAAATGGACTGATTCTTATATAGCGCTTAATAGCACTTATATAGTACTCAAAGCGCTGTATACAACATGCCTCATTCACCCATTTACACCCACACATTACAAGCACACAACCACCAACCTTCCAATCAGTAGCTGATCTGCTCTACCGCCTGAGCCACAGCCACCCCAACAACATCTGCAGTCACCTGTGATGTAAAACTTGAGACAAGAGCCTTGAGTGCTTTAAATTGCCTAACATGTTCTAACCCAGGTACCTCCTCCCTCAAAGTTGGGACCCCTGCGTTGGGCCCAGGAAATTGAACAACTCAGTGTTTTCTTTGAGCTTTGTACTTATCCACCTCTACCTGTCTACAGACCTCCTGGATTCTTCCTTGTGTGATTCCCGAGTGGTGAGTGTTGGAGAGAGAGCCTGCTGTCGTGTGTGTGGATTGTTTGGAGAGCGGGTGCCTTCTCCCTGGAATTCCCTGGAGCCCGGTCCTTCACCCTGTTGTATATAGCACTTTCCCTGCAACTTTTTGTATATACACCTGGTGGACTTGCAAATAGAACTCTCTTTTGTGATCCTGGAGTCTTGCTATTGTGTCCTCCACGCCAAAACTGTAACAGTAACGATGCAACCATACAATGGACTCAGCGGACTCAGCCCCCACTCAGCAGTGCGTTCTCACTGGAACACCATGAACAAATGCTGCAGCTCATTAGTATTATCATTATTATTCCACAGTTGGCCACACTAAGTTGTCCCTCGCTCTGCACATACCTCTGGTAAGCCCAGCAGAGTCTCCTCCATCTGTCTCTCCACAGTTACCGGCGCCCGAGCTTCCAGCTCCTTCTCTACCCACTCCTGCCTAACCCACGGAGCGATCCTTACCGGCACCAGAGCCCTTCTCGGGTGAGTTACACAACTTGCGGGATTTCTGACCCAGGTGACAATTCCAATTTAGACAGTTGCGGAGGACATATGAAACTTATGGGGCTAAAATTGCTTTCGTGTTTACATGGACAGGCATTAAACTGGGCTCAAGCTGTTCTTAGAACCGATGCCGAAATTTAAAAGTGTGTTTGAAAGAGGTGAGCCCATACAGCTGCTCACCGTTTATTGAATCTCAATACTCCGTCGAGTTTTGGACTCGGATGGGGGCACCTGGCATTGATAAGTACTTTATTGAACAATGTTTGTGATTAACTGGTGATAAGAGATTTACCTGAAACCCTGTCTTACATGATTACATTATGTGTGAAGGTGGACGAGCATGCCGTAGAAGCCTCTTGGGTGCGTGGAAGTGACGTCGGGTAGAGGCGCAACTGTTGGCAAAAGTTATCTGGAGTCGAGCAGTGTGGAGGAGGGTTAGCACTAAAAAACACTAATATTCAGTCTCGCTGAAATTCAGTCGCCATCTAGTAGGATGCTCGTCCTCCTGCAATGCAGCCGTCACCCAGCCGCCCCACGAATCATCATCCCACTCTTTATCATTTGTTTTCATTTTCCACTCCACCGGTGAGGTAGACCCCTTATGATTTTTTCCCTGACTCCCTTGCTCCAGATCTCCCT